GGAGTGCGTTCTCGGCGGTGTTTGCCGGTGAGGCCGCACCCCAGGCCTCCTAATGCAGTTCCATCAACACGCGGATTTTTTTTTTTGATTGCTGTATGATTACTACCTACGAAAACAGTACACTCACCGTTAACAGGCCCACGTTGTCCGCGTCTGCCACTCCATGAACATTCCTTAATCCGAGCGTCACTTCGAACACGGTGTCATGCGTGACCACCATTGAAGATGCGCCTGTTCGCTCGAACTCACACAGCGACCAAGACCCCAGACCAACGCAATGCATTTGAAAGACGATGAGACAGAGAGACGGAGAGAGCAACGTTGAGAGAGAGCAGGAGGAGGCACTGGCGGCGGCGTCGCGGCTGTCGACGCAGGTGTTCGGTGACGCAACTATTCGCTTATCTACACCGCCGGTAGGGGGGAGGCAACGCTGGCTGGGGTGAGCGGGGGGGGGGGGGGGTAGGAGCGGGAAACCCGCCAAGACGGCGCCGAAAGGCAAACACTATGGCGCATACGGTGGACGGCCGTTCGACGCGGAATGACTCCTTGTAAATGGCAACTCTCCTTCCAGCCAGTCGCACAGCGAGGCAGGTTATTTACCAGCCTCGGGTTCTTTGAGTATTTTGACAGAGTGCTATTGCAGTGGGCGCAAAATAGTGAAGCAAAACTTGCGGAAAATAAAGTGCACCATGGAATGGCCAGAAACAATAATTATTTCGTCCTCGGTGGCATTAGCGGGAGAGCATCGCTACACCTTTTTCCAGAGGAATTTTTTTCGCATTGTGTGTGTCTGGCAATTCCGCGTATGGTGCTGCAAACACTGAATGCGTAGTCGAAGCTGGAACAAATTAATCCACAGTCGCGGATGTTTAGAAGGCTTGTTACACAACACGAAACGTGCCGAGGTTGTTATAATAAACTTTTTGCTGACCACATGATCAGCACATAATTCCATATGGTTGCCCAATGAGCTAGCTAAGCACCTGTAGCAAAGGCAGGGCACGTTCTTGTTAAACGTTGTTAATATAAACGATGCTTGTGCATAAGTGCAGGGACAGCTTTCCATGTGAATTTGTCATAACCCACGTTTTCGAGCGTAGGAGCGGCTCAGCGGACCTAATCAGCTACCACAGCAAGTTCGTAAGCAATGATGAGGTAGGAAAATGTGCAGCTGTTTTCCATTTACTGAATAGTCCGTGTACAGTGCGTTGACCACCGCCATTTCTTAAGCCACCTCCCATATAGACTCCCAGTCTGAACAGGTGTGGGACTTTAAACACTAAGAAGCAGTGCCCCCCCCCCCCCCCCCCCCCGCACACACACACGAAATTCGAGGGTGCACGGGCTGATACACACGCATACTTATTCACAGGCGCATTCACAGGCGCACATGCGCAGGCTCACGCACACACACCCAACTCGGGCGAACATTATGTTGCTGTATATAATCCACAGCAAACATGTAGCTTATAACCAACGCTAAGGTGAGCTTTCGTAACGTGGATTGCAGTGAATTGCCTTATAGATGAAACGCGATTTGCTTCAGCTGGCATTCTGCTGTATTCGGAGAGCACCTTCACACATTCTAAGTCTAGGCCGTCATTTAACGCAAGGTCCGCATATTTGTGCAGTAGCTACGCTGCTCGGCCGCCAATCCGAAGGTCGCGGGTTCGATGCCGGCCGTGGCAGTCGAATTCAGATGGAGGTGGAAAGGTAGAAGCCTGTGCACTGTGCGATATCAGTGCCCTTTAAAGAACACCAAATGATCAAAATCTCTAGAGCTTTCCACTACGACGACCCTCATAATCATATTGAGGTTCTTGAGACGTAAAATCCCCAATATTATAATTAAGTGTTCTTATGCTGCATATTCCATCTGATGAATCGTCACCTACATCCTTCTCAGGCACAAAAGCGCCCTTAGAGCCTATTTTAGGGTGCTATCGAGGCAAGCACCCAAACAAATGGGTGCTTTTTTTTCAATCGACCATTTATGAATGTTGAAGAGTGTTGCAATGGGTGCTTTCTCGTAAAAGCACCCTTTTTAAACCTTTTTGGGTGTAAAATATTTACTGTGTATAGTGGTTTTGGGACGTGAAACCCCACATATCAATCAAGCATTTCTACCTACGTATCCCCCAGTCTTTCTAGCCGCTTACGTCTTGGTACTTTGGTGATCATCTCCTTAACTAGGAGCAGAACAAAACTGGTATGGGAGGATAAGAGGGTCTGACACACTTGTTTGACTGGTCATGACATTAATAACGTGAAAATTTCATCGCATACGCCATGGAAGTATTCTATCACAAAGAAACGCCAGGTCTCGAAACTGCTTTTCAAAAAGGCCCTATACAGGCGTAATGTATGTGAAACGGGAATTACGGTTGCAGGGCTGACCCTCTATTTACAGGAACATTACCCGTGTGCCACTGTGTTACAGGTGTCACGAGAGGTTAAAGTCAATTGTATCTAAGCGTCTTAGACTGAGGATGGTGTACATAGTATTTTATAGGGATACCATGGTAGCAAGCAGAAGCACGTTTTGTCAGCTTACCGCTTCCCATGTTGGTAGTACCCTGTTGCTGTTAGTGCCAAAGTGCAACCGTATTCAACAGGTTATATAAAGCAAGGATACTATTCAACGCATGTATACGTTGTCGCTCCACACGATTCGCATAATATGGAATACAATAATACGTGGCATCTGCCAAATTTTTGTAGAAGGCTCGCAAACAGCTTGCACTATTCCCCCCATAAAAAGTATGTTAACATTTGCATCCAGAAAGTTCATCACTCTTGCATTTAAAAAAAAAAAACGTTCCTTCGCACAACAACGGTATCATTGTGACAAGCACCGGGCTTTCCAAAGACAGTCTGCTAGCTCGTAAAAACCTTTTGATCTGGATGTGGTACTCCTACTAATCGTTCTCGCCACGGCCCTGCCACTTCCTCTCCTGCTCCTTGGACCTTTCACGTTCTCTACATTCTCCACCAATTTTTCTCCACGACGACTGGGGCTCCTTGCTGTTGCCCATGGAAACGTGCAGATGTCTTGTCATGCTCATGTTTTCTTTTTTCGCTCATGCCATTTCGTGCCTCGGCTAAACTACGCGACATTGTGCGCGATCTTTTTGTGCGCTGTGGGCTGGCGCTATTCCATGCTGTGCCACCTGTAGACTTTTTCACTATACACCTCTAGCATGTATAACTGCAAAGCTGCTTGGGCTGGTAGTCAGATGTCGGTTATCAAGGAAATCACCGCCAAAGCACAGGTTAACCGGTCGTTAACGATGTTTAGCAGTGAGCTCAGTCCGACGCTGCACTGAAGCTTTTCACAAATATTGGTTATATGTGTATTAATGTTTGACACAAGTTTGGTTCGGGTTTACATCAGTGTTAATTTCACATGCCGCACATTGTGCCTTTCATGACCACAGTCTTGCATGAGCGTAATGAGCGGCTAAATGAAATTCACAATTCGTTAATCACTGTGGCTGTTCTCAAACCACAGGGGGTCAACGACTTCACAGCTGAAGCCATCGTGCCGCTGCAGAAACTGCCGCCGAAGTTGGGCGTTCGCCCTAGTGAATGCGCTCCGGCAATTATTACAATGACCTTGTACTGGCCACCATGGAGCTTGTTGGGCGCTCCATTGTGGCAAGCGTTTGACATCAAGAGTTAACTCAGCGGCGTAGCTTGCACAATTGCATGATGCGTAGATTGTCATGTTCCTTAAGCGCGTTAGGTTTGCAACTTCGGTTATTCTTTATATGCGGCTACCCCGCTCTTTGCTCCGAAAAAGAAAAAAAGATTCTGATGTGTTACGACTATTGGGTGGTGAGCTGTGCTTCATGCAAAAGTTGCTTGAGCACTAGCGCTTTGGCTTGTTGGCTCAGACGGCAATTGGAGCGCTACTGTGTATTTAAAAAACCAGTTGCCTACGTGCACGTTCTGTGGCTTTTGTTGAGCGCCACCGACATATACGCATCTACTCACTGTATTTCCTACTTCCTGTTCATCCTCTGTCTGTCATTCTTTCACACAGCTTTTCTCTTTCTCCCACTCAGGGTAACTAACTGGACATGTCATTGGGGACTGACTGCCCCCTCACACTTGCTTTCTGCTTTCCTTTCTGCAACAAGAACCACGTCTTGTAGGTAAGTTCCGATACCCTCAAGTAATGATACCATGTGCACAGTAACACAATCAGACTAAACTTTCGGACTCTGGTTGGAAAGAGTAAACAGCAAATGAAAAGGTGCGCGGCAGCTGTGCCCCAGCTATAACAGTGATCTGCTTATAGAAGTTGTTGGTATATTATGAGTGAAGCTCCCTAAGGAGTGGGTTGGTCGTCTCCTGTATGTGTGCATGTGTGTAGTAATCACCTCACAGCATATCCACGGAATGACTGATGATGAGTGGGGCGAAGCTTCGGAGGGTATTATCGGCAAACCGTGAATCATCCACTGGCTGTGTCCGTGCATCATCTGTCTGTTTGACGCACGAATGGACGGACGAACGCATAGACGGACGCATGGACGGATAGACGAACTGACGCACAGACGGATGGACGAACAGACAGATAGACGAACGCAGAGACGGACTCACAGACGGATGTACGGGTGGACGGATGTATACATAGATAAACGCACGGAGGGATGGGCGAAGACAAACAGGCGAACGCAGAGACGGACGCACAGACGGACGTACGGGTGGACGGATGAATGCACGAACGGATGCTCGGATGGACGGACGGAAGCAAGAACGAACGAACGGACGAAAGCGTGAATGAAATGACGGATGCTTCACCCCACTCATCATCATTCACTCCGTGGATATGCTGGGATTTTTTAACCTTCACAGCAGTGATATATTCGCTAATTAAATGAACCCCTGGTTATTTGCTGAAACCTGCTTAATTCAGGAGAAATCTTCATGAGAAACCAATGCCCTGCAAACATTTTAATAAATACAGAAAGCAGCATTGCTTTGGAACTCACCGCATAACTTCATCGTGACTTCAATAACTGCACAGGAGTAATCGTGCTTGGCGTAGACAATCCTTTCTTGCAAATAATAACCACCTAAGGTGCCAGAAAAGCTCAGTTAAAAATTCTGTTCTTTCAAATAAGATCCTGCTTTCCCTGGTGGTATAGATTGCGTCTGTCATAATTTGTGCTACTATAAATACCGCGTTAGCTCTTTCTTGAAAAAAACATGCAATGTTGGGACGAGTGTCATGCCAGCTGTCACTCAAGACACTATAATAAAGTTTAAGGACGTAATTTAAAGCTTGTAGCTCCCGTGTCTCAAAGAAACCTATCACACAGGATGTGATATTACCTAACTAAAATAGGAAATCTTTGATTATTTCGCTTTGTACTCAAAGACTCAGAAAATATTTGAATAATTGTGCTTTTTGTACCTTCTATCCATAGGCTGTTAAACTATGCGCTTTAGCTTGTACATTTCGAAGATCTATCGAGAGAGAAAAAAAAGTTTGAAGCCATTGCCCCCTTGATGCAGCGCAGACAAATACTTGCAAAGAAACCATGCGCAACCATCAAAGATTCAATTGTTTTATTGATCGTTGTCCCTGGGTTTGCCAAGGCCATGTAAGTGACAATTACGCGGCCCTCTAGCATACCATGAAACTGAAAAATATCTTTTCTAGCCGCTGAAATTTCATTCGTAGTTTAAGCACTGGGTTATATAAAAAATCCAACACTATTTGTTTGTTAGTTTTTTGACAATCGACACAATATAATATCTCCAACAATAGTGACTCCGCCTTCGTGACCTTGTAGAGAGAATATTGAAGCTTACGTGAAACGCGGTAGCCGAGCGCGTCCCGGTAGTTTATTTCCGCGGGGGAAATCGGAGCCCGCTAATCGGGATAAAAAAAATGTTATTACGCGCACCTTACCCGGTGTTGAGTATACAAGCAAAGAAGTACAAAAAAGGCAAATATTCTACAATCTATGCACCACCATCCATATTTACTGCTAGCTCGTCATTAAACAAAAAAGGTAGGGCGCAGCAATGTGTCACGTACATTGCTACTCAAAATAAAATGAAATTTCTTTCTTTCTTTATTTATTTAATTTGCACACACCGATACACAAGTAAAGAAAAGAAAGAGGGAGAGAGCAAGCTGAAAACTGTCACCTGGAAGGGCACAACGCCTGGTAATTTTTTTAGGAGGAGGGAAGAAGTAGAGGAAACAAAGATAAGAAGAAAGAAAGAGGAAAAAATAAAGAGAAGTAAAAAAAAATGACGAAGACTTAGACAAGTATAAGTAAAAAAAATGAATGAAAATATAAAAAAAAGCATTTATAGATGGGTGGCCGGGTTTGTTTTGTTCATAAATAGAAGGATAGATCGGTGGACCTGTCGCGTCGGGAAGCACAACCACTCGGAGAGAGGTAGTCGTCTAGGGTCGTGCGTGTAAGTCCTAGGAATTTATATTCCTTAATCAGCAAAGCCTGCGGCGTAGCAGATGCGGGACAGAGCACTGCAAGATGCTCAAGAGTTTGGCAGGCATCTCAGTGTCAAAGCAATTGCGACACCAAACGCCAGGAACCGACAGGAAAAAAGGTATAGTAAACTGCTGAAACATCGGCAGAGTTTTGTGAAGACTTACGCAAAAACGACAGTGAGAAATACTCGTAATGTTAGATTTTATCTGCGTAATTCTTAAAAGTGAGTGCTCGCTTTCACACCACCCGTGAAATATTTCAAAAATGTCTACACAATGAAAATTTTACTATCTTTTCTCATGGATGGTGCTGCATAAATAATGAGGAACATCACAAAAAATAAATTGTGGCAGTAATCGCCTACTTCCTGTTTAGCTGCTAAGCAAAAATATATTTTATGAGACCCGATTTGTTATTACTAATCAGAGATACCGCTAAGCATAGGTGTGCGCATGTTTCGCCTACATTGGGGGAGGGGGATGAAAGATTGCTGCACCGCCACTCTCCCCCTTATGTTAGTGTATGAGTGTAAGGGTGGCTTTGCACCCTCTCTCAGCCCCCCCCTCCCGTGCACCCGCCTATGTCTCTGAGTTTATTTGTTTATGAAGACCTCAAAGAAACCATTGCGTGCATTTATGTACCTGGTGTTCGAACGGTCATGTAGTCTTTATGACGTTGATCGAACGTGCCCAGCTGAGGGCTTGCCACCCTGTAGTAAAAAAAAAGATCATTTTAAAACTTTTTTTTATGCCCACTAAAACTTGAACATTGTGTTACTTTTTTGAACCGTCGTAGAAATATCGCATCAAGGCAGCTGATTTCTGGGTAATTGTTTGTACGACTTCCACCTCACATTCAGCGTTGCCGCCACTGGTTGTGTAGAACGTCCATATTGGAAGCTTGGTCTGTAAAAACTGAAAAAAAATAACACTGCATATAGCCACTTGAGGCCAGATTTATAGGCACTAAAATTGGCTTTGAGGCACCAAAAGTAGGCAGGAAATATAGAGTTTAAGGCTCCCAAAATCGCAAATAAGGGCACAATAAATTTTAACCAAAATTGAAATTCTCGAAGAAATACGCGCCGGACCTTTGTCTACATCTCAAAAAGCAAGAATAACTGTTTTAGTTTATATGGTACGAAGAGGCCAATGATTCAACATAGCCATACTTTTTTTCCCGCAGGGTGTGTGGGACACGGTGCCTTGTTCTAATATTCGGTATGGTGAGTTAATTGCCTACCATCGAATAAACAAGCTCCTACGTATCTTTCTTTAAGTATTTATAGGCAGAACAGAAATGCTACGAAAGCCTTTCTTAACCTCAAATTCATGCTCTTAAATCAAACCACACAATAGGAACGCAAGGAATAAAATAACCCTTTGCCTATAATCCGGTCTATAATAGTCACTGTATGATATGCATGTTAAATCAATAAATTGCAGAAGCAACGAGTTGTCATGTATGAGCTAGCAAGACATGAAAGCAAGCGTATATTTTACACTAATGGACGCGGCCCACGCGAACTGGAAGATGAATATTACTGTGTATTACCGATGTATATTATCACAAGGTAATTTTCTCATAGTCGTACTTGCATGACTGTGAAACATGGAAAGGGTTTAGATATATTAGGCTTGTGTTCATTGTAACACAAACATGTAAAAACTGTAAGTAAACACAGTGTGAAGATGTGGATTGTGTGGCCCGTGACGGGGCGAAGAGGGAACGGCAGTTCTGCTCTGCGGTACGGCTTGGAGGCGAAGACGAGGAAAAGGAAGCGCGAGCGGGGCGTGCGGCTCGGGCAGTTGGAGCGTGACACAGTTGGAACGGCAGCTGCTGGTCGGCGGTTCGGGTCGCGACATCGCTTGACCAGGCGTCCGGCACCCTTGCGGACCTGGTGAGCTGGCTTCCTGCTTCGGGCTGCGTCACTCAACCAGGTGTCCGGCAGCCTTGCGGACCTGGTGAGCTGGCTTCCCGCCCTGTGGCCGGCGCTGACACGGGGACCGGCAGCATAGTCTGTTCGTGGCCTGAGGTCCTGGGACCCGAGTGGTGGCACGAGGTGGCTGCGGCTCATGTTGGCGATGGGCCATTAACCTGCACTGCAGTGGCATGGTGATCTACCGGCCTGCAGCACCACCATCACCACCACCACCACCTCACCACGGTCAAGGCAGCGTGACTGCACAAGGAACACCGGTTACGACCGACCTCGCCGCCGCGGCAACAGTCATAACGGTGAGTAGGACAGTTCGTGTGCCGAGACGCGTAGGACGTTTGGCATGTAAATAAGGAACGCTATAGTGTGTTGTGTGTGAATTGTAAGAGTTATCGGTTGTGTTAAAGTCTGTGTTGTGTGTACAGAGTCACCTGACTTCCGGTTGATTTATTCCGGATCCTGGGCCCACATTACACCATAACATACAGATTTAGCTGGGAAGCAAAAAAAAAAACAAGCAACAAAGGTAAACTGTTCGCTTCTTCTGAAAGCGAGTTTACAAATATTACTAATCTAATTGCGATATAATTATCTGCTTATTAGAACGGAAGCCGAGTACATTGCCACCAGTTCGTGAGCTGTGGCTAGCGCGAGCTGTCATGCAGGGCAAACGAATGAATAAGTTACTTTGGGATACCGCATTCACTGAAGTTAGCGCCGCGACTGAGGTTCACACTGAAGACAATACCACAGGTTTTTGAGCCGTCATTGTCCAACATCAGGAATGCACGGAGCGAGTGATCACCTTTGCCATTCATACCCTCGTTCTAGCTAATATAACTAATTTATTACGGGGAACGAGTGCCTTGCAGTAGTATGTATCACCATGAAACCTACGTCCCACTGTTGTGGTAGTAACTGCTTACGAAGCATGTTAACTTACAAAGTATGCCACCTCATCATCTGTCCTTCCGAACACCTAACGGATATGACAGAAGCGCGCTTGCATCAAGTGATCTTGAACCTTCGTGTGCATGTGAGAATTTTGCTCACCCGATGCTATCGTCAGCAGCTAAGACGTGTCGTTTTAGTGAGATATATTAGCAGTGCTCTTGTCATTTTTGTTTATTTCGAGGAAAATATTGGGGCAACTGGAGCAGCGCCAATGCATAAAGGTTTGCCAGAAAGTGGGTGACAGCCAGGTGGAAACAATTCAGAAGCTTCAGACTGCTTTCTTTGACGAAGGTAAGATCGGCACACAAATTAAGGAGTGGTACGACTGCTTTAAAGACAGCCGCACATCGCCGGAGAGCGAGGCACACTCTGGCCGGTCACCAACATGCCTAGATAACCAGATTATTGGGGATGTGAACGCGGTGGTCATGAATGAAAGATCACCGTGAGAATATCAGAGTAACTGCGGAATGGGTGGGCATTAGCACTTTTTCTGCGGATATTATTATAACACAAGATTTAGTCATGACTACAGTTGTGGGAAAACTTGGGTTGAAGCTGCTCACGTTCGCCTAAAAGCAACTTCGTGTTGATGTTTTGCAGGATATGCTGGATTCCGCGAAGAGAAACCCCGCCTTCATGATTACTAGTGACGAGTCTCGGGAACACGTGTACAAGCAGGAAACCAAATCGCAGTCGTTGTAAAGGCAGCATTCACGTTAACAAGACCAAAAAAGGCCCGCAAAGCGCGCAGAAACGTCAAAGTTACGCTCGCTGATTTCTTTGATTCCCGCAGAGGGGTACACTTGGAGTACGCTCCGCAGCATCAAACACTCGCGAAAAGTACTATAGGGATGTCCTCTATCACTTGCATGATGCTTTGCGGCGCAAAAAAATGGAGTTGTGGTTGCTGTGCAGCACAAAAGAGCGGAGCTGGGGTCAACAAGAAATCGGCGCATCTTTTACAAGAATGCTCTTGTACATTCTGTATATTCGTTCTTGATATATAGACATTTTTTTGGGGGAGGGAAAAAAACCAAGCTGCTATTGCTCAACAAGCTCGTTACTCTCCTGATATGGGCCATGCAACTTTTTGCTGTTTCCGAAAACCAAGACGTGATTTTGGAGAACGCAATTTGAGACAAGAGAGGACACTATGGCTGTAACGACAACTGAACTACGTTCTGAGAGGAGCGTTTTTAGAATGCTTTCAACAAGGCCATAACGCTGAGGGAAGTGCGTGGTGTCTGAAAGAGACTATCGTCGAACACTTTAGGTTCATTGTGAACTAGAGAGAGGCAGGACATGTGAAAATGGACGTAAGTCAAGGACAACTGCAGAGAGCAAAATAAGGACGCTCAGACAATTTCGCTAAATCAATGAAGACCTAAGTTAACTTTTTTTTCGTTTTACTTGTCATGAGCTCGAACGTCCTACTATATTTATTTTGCACGTGTGGCGTCTGGTATTCAATCAGGGTGTGCTGAATATACGAACGAGGTATAAGCCTAAAATGTTCAATATCAGGATATACACCATAAAAATATATATGGGTGAAATGTTTAAGTGCTTGTATTCATACACATCAAGATAACGATAATGATTTGTCCATTTTTTTTTCGATAGACCAAAAATATTTGCACAGTTCTGTTGCCAAGTTTACTTTCGCTTTTCCTATTTTTCTTCTTCATTCTTCCTGTTAGCTCTTTATCTAAACAAGAACTGCTAATGCCACAGCGTTTATTCTTCATACATAAATTTTGGTGTTTTGTGAATGGAAACATAAGAGTCGTGTGATCGAAAGCTAGAGGCAGAGTTACCGGTTGGAGGCGGTATTCCGACAGGCGTTGGCCTTATGACTATGTCTGGTTATTTCGGGCCCCGTTCGCCAACACTATGAGTGAATGTACTTTGTTATATAGTGAACTGTGCATTGTAGTCATCTGTCCATAAGCTTCAGCAACACACTCACATAGTGAGTGTAGGGCTGTATTTCAGCAGACTGCAGTTAATGATATTGACATTAACAGAAAAACACACGCATGGAGCTATTAGCTGTGGTTATATATACACACAGTGTACAGGAGGGTATACAGTATGAGCAGAACACTTAGGGGTGCCAAATTAGTCTTCATCAACTTCTCATTACCGCAACAGCATGACGCAAAGGTCGAGCTTCACGCTTAAAGGCGACAAAGGCGTTCTAGACGTTTCTGCGAGCGACCCACATCGTCGAACGATTGTAACATTCTAGTGTGTGTGCGTTTCCGCTTCCCCATCTCTCGCTCATCCTCTCTTCCTTACTTCGCTGTCTCCTTTTCCTCTTGCCCAGTGAAGGCCTAGCAAACCGAAATTTCGGTTAAACTTCCTGCCTTTCCGCATACTATATTTCCCTCTCCTCGATGAAAAAGGGGCAGCAGTATTGTTCAGTTGATGGGTGTTTCGCAACGTTGGCCGCATTACTGCACGAGGCTACCATGAACAGCAAAAAGGCCATAAGTAACAACAACCAGGGCGTGTATTTATTTTATTACTGGTCATTAGAATATAGTGCTTGACATTATACAAACTATACCTGACTTTGTACACGCCAATAAAACTTTTGCCTAGGAAGTCTGACAGCATGTCATCGTCAGTGCCATGGAATGCTAAATGCTCCTTGGAGGTGGTGCAGCTACGATTGCTGTATACGCTAACAATACTCAGTCAGTGAAGAATAAAGCCAGGTGCCCATTAACTAAGAAAGACTGGAGCCTTTGCGATCTTGAATAAATTATAAGGCATCAAGTTTACGGAGCCCAACCAGCAGGGGCGTGCGTGGCTTAATAACTCCGAATGAAATGTGCTATGTTTAATATTGTGCGATGCAGTACGGCACACAATAAATTTGGGCAACGTTGACGTGTCTGACTCTGAGTGAATCTCATGGGCTGCTGATGCTGCCTATGGCAAGAATAGTAGAAATGAAGGTAACTAGCAAAAACGCCGGAGAAAGACCATTCGCAACGGTTTCATCCAAAACTGCTTGGTGTGATGTAGGAGCAGAAACTAATGCTGCGCTTCACATGAGTGAAATGCTCACATTTTATTCGCTTAGTTTATATTGCGTGCGTCTTGTTTTGTGCATACACAATAAAAAGCGCGCATTTAATGAACGTCTCCTGTAACTAAAGTCCACAAGTTTTGACGAAAAATGCGTTACCTTTGCCATGTTGTATTTTTTGAGTCCAAAAATTTCGAGTTTACATTCGAATGCTGTGATGTAGACAGTGACCAGAAACGCTGCACAAAACTGCTTCCCTCGCATGCTGCTGACTGAACCATTCTTTTTCTACGTACACTGGTGCTAAAACTTAAGCAGGTGTTCTGAAGATAACAATATGCCATTTGTAAACAAAAAAAGCGAACACCGGGAAAATCTCAATGCGGAGAACAGTTCACAGAATCCTTCAAAAAAATGCTCAGCGTCCTCACATTGTTATTGCCGATTGTTCAGGATAACATATTCTTGAGAAGAAATTCTGTGGGAAATGTCGAGGCAGTCGTTCCGTAGTACTTTTAGAAACATTGAAGCCGTTTTAGCTGGCTGTCGAATTGAGTTACCCAAAAGTACTTGTAGTTCTTGTTGACCTTACTATTGGCTCATACCCACTGTGGGGGATCAGCCAATCATTGAGTGGTCTTATAAAGTATTATTTGATTTTTAAAGTAAAGGAACCTAAAAATGAGAACGTTACAAACTTTAGAACGAAATTCGGATGAACACTGATCTGTACCTGTTATAAAGTTTTTGTATTAGTAATAGATAGTAAGCTAGATTAAAACCTAATTTTAAAACAGAGAAGTTACGCATATGTCGTCACAGAAGAATAATAAGATTTGTTTGTTAGTCTTTTGGTTTCGTTCAGATAATTCCGTATGGCCTCGCTAACTTTCGTACTGGCAAACACAGAAGTAGAGGCTCGCAAGGACAGAATCATGGGCATGGATAAATTCATTTCAATAGCATGTAAAACGTATTCTAACTTGGATCTACGAGCTGTACTAAATCCCCTACATGTCAAAAAATTATTATCCCTAGTTTCTGGCTCGCCACAGAGAGGGCCCATTGGAGAAAAATCCCGACCAGACCTGTGTTGGTAGAAATTTAGTTTCAGAACCCAACAGTGTAGCCGCGTAATTGTGACTTCTAGTTTACGTGTGTCACAAGAGGATCGGCACCATAGATATAATAAGTCCTGATATTCTGTCGAATTATTCAGTGATGTACCTGTGGAGCTTTGTATAATGGTACGCCTGCAAAATCAGGCAACTGTTACATAAGCGGATGACAGGAAACATTTTCATATTGGCCTACTTATTGATGATTTCGCTAAAGAATTCGTCCTTTCATTTAAAAGCATCCCTTTAAAACCCGGCACCCAAACTAATATAACGTTTATGAAATGGGGAGGGGGGGGTCTATAATGCACGAAACGCTTTTATTATGTGCGATTCAGTACCAACAGAAAGTGCATCACAAAGAGGCATAGATTGTGTAAATATAATAGCCGATAAAATTTTCGCGTTTAATTTGCGTAAAGCGGTTAGCACTGCCAAAAATTCGGCCACAAAAATAGGTATGAAATCAGGTTGTCGGAGCGAATAGGACGAATTAAAGTTCGGGCTGAATATACAAACAGTTAAATTTTCGTCATGCTGTTATGCATCTGTAGTAATAATTACACTTGCTTTCATGCTCTGCTAGCGTTCTTACAATAGACCCGCCACGGTGGTCTAGTGGCTAAGGTACTCCGCTGCTGACCCACAGGTCGCGGGATCAAATCCCGGCTGCGGCAGCTGCATTTCAGATGGAGGCCAAAATGTAGGCCCATGTGCTCAGATTTGGGAGCACGTTAAAGAACCCTAGTTGGTCGAAACTTCCGGAGCCCTCGAATACGGCGTCTCTCATATTGATATGGTGGTTTCAGAACGTTAAACCCCACATATCAATCAGTCAATGAATACATATATCTGACAACCTTTGTTTGCACTATACTTCCATGTGTAAAGAAAAAAAATCGGAGGCGTGGCCGTGTGGTAGAAAATCCGCGTGCCACGCAAACTTCACGGGTTCGATCCCCACTCGGACATAAGCAACCCTGGTTCGGTCCTCACTCTCCTCGAGAATTTCTTATCATTATTTATTTTATTTGCACCGTTCTTGATTTTTTGTTAATGCACAGATGATGATTTTTCGCTAACAAACAACGATGCCGACGCCGGAATTTCTGCGAAACAAACTCTCTAACGCGACCGCGTTAAAACTACGAGAACTTGCTAGAAGTCTGCTTCCTTCTCCCCATTTCGGACTCAGATATATAAAATGCTTGTAGACAAGGCAGGCCATGTGTTCGACGCCGATATCAACTGCATGAAAGTTTTCACCCACCCGGCCAATGGTGGTCGCTTACGTATAGCACCAGCTGCTAAATTATTATTAAGCCTTGCTGGAGCTTGAAATCGCGCTTTATTATAGGGCTTGGTTAGTGGGCATGATGCATTGTCACTTCATCCAGTGCGTTGGCCTTGGTCTCAATAACTGAGGAGCATAATGAACAAGTGTGATTGATTACATTCTTTATTAGATGCTGCTGCCGCTGATATAATCGAGCCGACAAACTTGGCTGAGCACATGGTGCGCGAAACGATGACATGTTTCATGACTCGTGTCGTTCTGTGATTTACCTCCTTGCTCGATTTTACTGTCACGAGAAATGTTTTCTAGCCATATCTAAAAATTTTAAGTCATTGCAAATTTATGTCGAGACAAACGTAAAATCTCTCTTGGTATTCATCGTATTCGTGCAACAGCAAAGAAAATCTTAGGTGTTTGCTGTCTATCTCAAAATAAACCTGGACAAAAATCTTAGGTGTTTGCTGTGTATCTCAAAATAAACCTGGACAATTTATTCAGTTGAATTAGAACTAATCATCCTTCGTCAGCGATACTGGATGACTTTATTTATGCTAATGTATCATTCACTCTTGATATTCCTGCCATAATGTTCCGCACAAAGTTAAGAATCGCCTAACTTCTGTTCTTTGTTTTTTTCCCCGCGAGTTGTCCTTCAGAATACCCGCGTAGGAAATGAGAAGGCCAATACGCTGAACCTAATCTTTACCATAGAATCTGATCTTGCTTCTGATTTGTCTTACTTACCTGGAATAAGAGATAATCTGCTTAACTAACGGTAAATGGTTTGGTTTTTCTATTGCCACTAAGAAAAAAGTAATGGTGAAAAAGCGTATTAGAAAATATATGAGAGCCAATATAATGCAATCAATTAGAAGATGATTATTTATTCGACAATTTTCCGAGTTGCCTTTGAAGAGAAGCGTAATGTCTGACGTTGAACTTTTTCCTTCATGATATTTGTGCTGTAATAAACAGGTGAATTCCACTGCTAATATTTCGTGCTATTCTGACTCGCAACAGTGCTCTAACCATCTAAGAAGATTTTGTAATAAAAATGCAGATTTGTCATGTTGGGCCCAATTCGTCCTCAAGCATTCAGGGAAATAATTATAAAGTAGCAAATGTAACGGTCCTGTAACTTGTCTCTGTAACTGTTCTAAAACAGACGAAAGTGAACTATTCTAGCACCTAATGCAACACATTTTATATCCGTGTTAACCGATAATCCACGAACGTTCTGAAAATGAATTAATTTTAAGCATGATGTTAGCAACTATCGACAGAAAAATAAATGGGACGAAGCGGACGCTAACAAAGCAGTAAAAAGAGCGTGCAAGCATAACAATGTGAATTATAGCATAGCGAGTGGTAGGCGAAGTTGGTGGCGGTGAGGTCGAAGGGAGAGGGTAAAGCATGGAGCCTTCTAAAGTATAGTATAGCAAGGGCTGACAAATGGAGTATGAAGGCTAAACAGGATGGGTGAAGCGGAGGAGAAAGAGAGTAATGTTACTCAGTATGGTGTTCAGTGTTCGCATCACTAGAGCTAGCTGCCTCGCTTAAGTTGAGCGTGATTCAAAGCGGTCGTTTTGCAGAAATGGTGGTGTTGGTATCATTTGATGTGAGCGAAAAGTAATCAAGTTTTCCGTAACCAAAAAACGGAGAAAGATCCGCGTCTGAGTAAGCATTGAACCCAGGCCGTATGCGTGGCAAGCAGATGCCATGCCACATAGCCATGAAAATCGTTGCAACACCATGGAGAAAAAAAAGCTATATGACTGTCATTTGGTCAAAGACGCATCGTATATTGCGCATCGTATATTGCGCATCGTATATCGTATTTGACGCATCGTATTTGACGCATCGTATATTGCGCAGCAGAAGCGTTGAATCGCTTCAGGCACCAAACCATGTGTGATTTCAGCAGCGAGTAGGTGTTTTAGAGACCCACACAATAGAGATTGTTCAAACATACTTAATCATCATCAGCAGTGGAACCAGTAAACAGCTGCGTAAGTTCGGTTGTTGTGCAAACGCATATTGAGCCCTACGCTGATTCCCACAGGAAATGTATACAACGTTGCGGGCATTTCACAACTGTGCTTGATATGCGTTCAATGACACTTTGAAATGGCAAATGTTACGCGCACATTAACACGCTTCTGTACGAAGGCATACTCAGAGAAATATAACAGGCTAGCAGTTCAGAAGGCTTTGCGCACAAGGCTCGATTACGCTATCGTGATCTACTTCTGGAGGTAAAGCTGAAGCGTGTTCCATTCTTTGGTCTTCGCAATAAAGCACCTCTCGGCTGTCGGATCAGCTTTCATGGAAACAAACAGTAATAAAAAATTCACGCGCATTTCGTTTTAATTTGATATTATGTGTTTTCTTATTGCGTCGAAAAAAGAGACGAGTAAAAAGGTTTCGCCGAGGAAAGCCTGTACAGGCTTCATCAGTACCATTGGTTACAAAGACCTATAACCTTTTTTGACCTTTCATGGAGCTTACCCATCAGGGTAAGCAAGCTTTATTTATTTTATAATCTGTAAATTAGCTAATTCAGTAAAAAGTTTGCAAGATGCGAGTCATTTTTTATTTGTTCTCTTTTATACCAAACATTAGGCGCGAACAACGTAGAGAATTCGCGCTCGTGTCGAATTATTTAAACGGGAATTTCTGACAAAAGTAACTGACATACTATAGCTATGATTCCAGAACTATGTAGTGCTCTCAATTTACCTCGGGGTATGTTTTTCTGCATATTGATAGAGGCTGGCAAACACACTGGCATTTCAAACTCCACATGAGTACTTTTGCGTGAACGAGACTCCTGAAAATCGCGAGATTTACGATAGCGCTGTGCACGGGCCTCATTTCCATGCCCGATCCCGGCCCGCACCCACTTACGGTGTCTAAGACCAGCCCGAACCCGACATGAAAGCGCTTTGAGCCCGCCCTGCCCGGCCGAAGCAACAAGGACAAAGACTCGGGCCCTGCCCGGTTTGGCCCGACATTATGACAGCTTTCTGCGTACCCAGTTAAGATATTGTTTTACATTATACTGAATTTTATTTCAACACATCAAAGTAAAACATAAGCAAATCACGCGTGACAGTCGCGGAGAAGGCTTTACGTGGTGAAAAAGAATTCCCACACCAATTCGATATTTCGGGTCTGTTCTGCGCTTCGCACCTTGCCATTCTGGCGGAGAAAAAAAGTAAGTAGCCCGAGTGCGACCAGGGCGCGAGATGAGAAAGCTTTGGCATACTCTAGCCAAGCCTATACGGTCTGGGCTGGGACGAACCATTCGGTCAACTCAGATTCCGTGCGCACGTTTATTCTACACTCATAAAACTGGGTAAGAACACGCTATGGATTCGTTCCGCAGACCAAAAGAGAGAAAGAGGAAAGAAATGAATAACGTGCTAGTGCATAATTTTATAATTTTATATGATTAAGCAGCCAGTATAAGTTTTTTCAGAAAAAGAAAGTGTGCCTTCCTACTGAAAGTTTAGAGTGATTACCAAGCGTGCATTTTTATATACGAAGCGTTCTTTTTTTTCTAAAAGAGCCAAACGCACTCTAGATAAAACAGAGAAAAACACACTTGTTTTCTAGTGACAACATGGGTGGGCCTCCTCAAACAACGTTTTGCCAGTGTGTTCCCTCCATTAAGTACCACAAATCTAAAATGTGGCTAAAATATACATAGCCAAATACCCTCAAAATTGTAGAGTAAATTTTGTATTTAGCTCATATATATTGAGAAATTTTATTTGGACATCAATTAGCTTATAAAATACGTGCAAAACGGTTTGAATGCATGGTATAGCAATATTTAGCGATAGAATGGACATCATACTTGTGTTGCCGCCGCTTCCGTGCTTCGACACGTAATGACGATTACTTGACTTGAAGAGCGAGTGGTCCTTCCTGGCGAAAGGCGCACCATTCTGGACCTTCAGTAGTGTTTTCTAGTTCCTGGCATCTATTAAAGGCCTTGAAAAGGGTTCCACTTAGTTTTATGTCATGCCATTTCCGGCCACTTCTTCTTTATTATGGAAAAGATCGGCACCCAACATCTTCATATTATTCCTATTTTATTACAAGTATACTATGTTGGAGTGAACCGAGGGCAAGATAATATTGCGTTAAAGTCGAAAAAAAAAATCACTGAGATGCAAAAAGAAGTAGGCAAGTCAGCCTCTTACTCTTTACCATCGAGTTTTTTCATTAAACATTCTGTTCTTCATTAAATGCCAAATAGGGCTGGAAAACCTAATTGTGGAACGCTAACGTGATGACAAAGCAACTTATACACAAATGAAACATTTTGTGTTGGACTTTGTTGGTTGTTCTGATTATGTTTGTTAGCGCAGTGCTGGTTTAATGAATGCGACTCACTTTGATTGAAACAGTTGCAGTACTTGGGTCATTTTGGATTAAAAACGGCCTTTTTGAGCTGTTGTTACAATAAGAAATTGCCCTATTTCGATTGTAACTGTTCCAGAAATCAAAAATACTTAGGCATGCTTTACGTTCCAGTGAAGTTTAGCCTAGTTTCCGTTTCTGGATTTAGCTCTTTTAGAAAAAGAAACGCCTGATATATCACAGCTGAATTGAATTTTACTATGCTGAACCTTGTTTTTGCCGATGTTTCTTATCCTCATGACTCGACCACAGCTAAAGTGCATATATCACTTAATATGCAGGATGTTGTTACACAGCGGCCCATATATAACTTTTCCTCTAGGGGCATACTTCGCGAACTGTTCCACGCATTTAGGGTGAGGTCCTTGCTTCACCAGCGCATCCCAAAGCCGCAAGTCGAAGTAGGGTTGCCAACCTGCAAAGGCGCAACAAATTGTTTGTATTGTGACGCGAAAGATTGCGCAACATTTTAAAACACCAATGACATAGCGCTGCGAGCACACTTGTGGGGGAGATCACTATTCAGTTGAGTTCTCAAAATTGATGATGAAGAGAAAGCACATGAAGATTAACATTTAGTAAGAGCGAGGTTGTATTTATTGAACGCCCACAGTACATAAGTACTTTGGCCCTCTCCATAAAGTTACTTATGAATCTGAGATTAGTTTTTGTATATAAATGTGCATTTATTATTTATCGTGTCCGATGTGATTTTATTTTATGCTAGCAAACAGATTTTTCTTTCTGTCACGTGTTTTAATGACAACGGATATTTTCTAAACTACACATTGCAATTAGCAGACGAATTTCGCTAGATGCTCTGTAGGAATACGCACATATTTTTGAAAACATTTTATACGCCGGCGTATAGTCCATGCAATCATGCTTGCGAGGATAATTAGTTGGTTGTTTTCGCTATACCTATTACTCACCGAATCGTTCTTGCGAAACCTGTATTACGGCGCAGAGGGAGTGCTTGTTCATATATACCATCTTCTCCTTGGAAATAAACGTGCCTTCTGGAAAACGACATCCGACCAAATCTAGTGTTTGATTCAGGTGAAACCAGCTTAAATAGTGATTGCCTCAATACATATGTAACACAGGCATTTGTCTACATTAGACATATAGTTCAAGCTTAGGTATTTTTATGATATCTTTGTAATTTCGAATGGTCATTGAGGCGATAGCCTATGTTCTGAATCACTTATACCTACTACTTAGGCAATCACGGAATCTACAATTATGTCCAGAATTCTCAACGCCAGCGTTCGGCCTTAATGAAAGCACTTTGTAACCAGAACTACTTCATACTTCATACAACACTTATGTTTCCTTGACGCTAAGGTCCAGTTATCTTCCAGTGAGTACGAGATGTGCATTAGGAATAATAAGCTGATCATAAAGAATATACTAAATATACAAAGACTAAGAGAAATCAATAACTCTCAAGGTCCCTTACACATTCTTCTGAAATGACTCCAGAGTGAAAGTCATCGTTTTCTTCTCAGCAGACGTATTGAAGCTGACGCCCTGAACCTACGGATATCTTAACATTAATCCTTTCTGCGCGTAGCATGGTTTCTAACTGCGTACAGGGTGGGAGATATGGCAGGCTTTCTCCGTCAATACGGTGACTAACCTACGCAAATGTGGCGATAACTTACGTCAATATGGCAATCAACGCGTTCAAATAAAGAGTGTTTCTCATGAATCTAAGAACGGCAAACAGTGACACTGTGAAGTCTCATGAAGGAAATTGCGAGAGCAAACATTTTCTCGTGCAAAACACACCACTACATCTCCAAACTTCAGCATTACTGGCAGCAACTTTCATGGTCGCCTTCACTCAAAAGCCCATATTGCCAATTTCTCGCACATATTAACGAGTACTCTTAATATCTGATACAATCACACATAAACACATGCAGTTTAGTCATAATTTTGCAGCGTTTTGTCGTTCATTGTAGAATATCATCGTGGTGGCAACGAATCATTGCCATCACCAAACACACTAAGTCGTAGTTGTTCATTCTTCATCCTTCCACAGCAACGTTGACCTAATTAACTGCCGACCGCAGTAGCTCAAGCCCACTTATGTCTTCGCCAACGCGTAATGTGCTTGCTGCAAGATTTTGCAGCTGCGATACCTAAATAAACAGATGCAGATGTGCTACTTAGAGTGCTACATCGACCAGCGCTAGTATGTCAGTGGAAGCGCTTGCGCAAAGAGTACTTGTAGCTTTAGCATTCTACTACCAAAACGGTACCCGAAACATAACCACAATTTGTAGCCGCCGACGTAGATCTGGTGCACGCTGACTCACACGCCAATGCTATGGTAAGTAGATCACGTGACGAAAATGCCTCACGGTCGTGACATCACATGTTCGTGCTGCCAGATACTAAAGCTTCTGACCCCATAACTAATTACCTTGCTCAGAAAGTTTACCTTGGCCAGGCAAGTAGCGCATCATATGGTAATGGCCGTGAGACTGTGCTATAAAATGAAGAGAATGAAAGGGTGTTGCGACCCAGTAACAGCCACAGGGGCCAACACTAGCAGGTTACTTGCATTGCTCCAATATACTCAGAAGGCCAAGCATGGTTCTTTCTTCCCTCTTTCGCTACAGCTCAGCGGCGTATGCAAACTGTTTCTTGTGTAATGCCCGTGTAAATTTCAGAAGTCAGGTATAATATCGGGATGGTTGGTTCATGGTTTCAAGTGAACAACAGCGCCAAGATGACAGAATGAAGACAGGGCGCAAACCCCGCCACTGACAAACATCTCAGAGTAATTTTAGTGTTTACTTAGCGCCGTGCTCAGTGCCTCTTCTTCGTCCACACTTTGCAATTTCTTTTTACAAGGACCGGGTTGAAACTCGGCAGTTGCAAATGTATATATTCACAGTGTTTGGACACGGCATACTCGAACGACAGTGGCTGTGATGTCTCGATGTGATGTTAAGTGGCTTCATGTCAAAGGGATGACAAAGTTGCCTGATCATGTTTTTCTGTCTCCACCGACGCAAATATGTAGATAATTTAGCGCATCATGGTCAAAGCCTGGCAACACTGTCCCAGTGCCTGGCTGTCGGTGTGGAAAATTTTCCGCTCAGAGCATTAGTGAAGCGCTAGTGACAGTTTTGCTCATACCCTCAAATGCACACAAAAAACAAAAATGGTAGAGCTTAAAAACTGTAGCGAATTAGTTGTTTTAGGTGTGCGGCTTCTCCACCGTTTCATTGTCGCCATTGTGATTACGTTACTAAAGTAGGAATTTTTAAACCTACCTTTGTTGCGCACACGCATGACATCTTTCTGCTGCTTCGAAAATAATGCCTCGAGGTTCTTCGCTATCCAATGACTGTAAATGTATGGTAATAAATTAAATGCGAGTTTTCAGGGAGTAATATAGATATCTTACTGTTGCTCATCATAAAAATAAGTCCGTGTGAAGAAAATAGACGTGTCAGTAAAATATTTCGCTTGGTCCACCTTACATAGAATGTAGTCGCTTGTACTCGTGTTGTATGTCCATATACGCTGCGTTGTAAATACAAACTGCAAGAACAAAGCAAATTACATTGAAGGTATAATATTTCTAATTAGCAAATTCATAGAAATATTAGCAATAAGCTGGCAGGACGGATGAATTTAATGTGTAGTTAAATAGCAAATATTTGCGTAACATTCAAAAGCTATGTCCTTGAAGTAGCCTTAGACCGCATGTTATAATACAAAAAGAAGCGTGTTACTATATTTTTTGCATTTTCTTGCTTTTGTAGCAGTTTGTAATGCCAGATCGGCTCAACAAATGAAATTACGGCATTCACGTAACCTGAATAGTGGACCTACACTGCACTGGATTACGTGCGAAAAATACCTCTTGGGAATTGTATGCAACCGTCTTTTCCATGCATTTGCTCATCTATTTTCTTTTTCCTGGCATGACTGTTGTGCCCGATCAACTGGTCTGACTTCGTTTTGTGGTATTGCTATGGGGAAATCGACATACCAGAGAGTTTTATTGCTGGGTACACAAGCGGCTCGCGTACCGAGGGTGTTGGGGCGGCGGCACTGCGCATGCGCAAAGCCCTAAGTACATATGCGTCGCCAAGTCACTGTGGATGTGCGTTCGCACGGCAGTAAACATGGGTGCCATCACTGACCTTCTAGCGGAGATAGTTGACCCAGTTGGTCATGTTACCCGCGGCGGCACCCACGTTCACGACGAGCCAAGCCGAGACTGTCCAGAGTCCTCCACTCGACTTCCGAACCCAAAGACGCTAATCTCGATAATCATGGCTGGGTCGGCCTCCATGTGCCACCTTTGCGAAAGCAGCGTGGTGTAAGGCTTCACTACAGTGAAGCTATATATATATATATATATATATATATATATATATATATATATATATATATATATTATATATATATATATATATATATATATATATATATATATATATATATATATATATATATATATATATATATATATATATATATATATATATATATATGCGTCTGTTTTCTCCAAAAAACTTTCAACTATTACTGTGCGCTGTGTCCACGTGTCTTACTTTTGATACTGACTTTTTTCGCGCAGCTGAGTTAAGAAGTTCAATTTGTGCACGTCATTTACGCAGAGTTACATTATAGTTGCTTCGTTGTCAGACTACTACTGCCTGTCTCAATTGCTATGCATCAGCGGCACAACTTCACTCACAACAGCGGGCCATACGACAAAAACATTTTATTTGTCTCTGGTTGATAACTTAGTCATAATAATCAAGAATCTTCTATTGAGAGTAAGTCACCTCATGTCGCTATCTATGCCTCGTTCAATATCTCGAATTTTAAAATTAAAAGAAACAACTCATATATGATAACACGCTACGAAGCTGTGAGCGCGTGTGACCTTCGTGCGGCTCGCGTTTGCGTACGCGCTGCTATAAGCCATTCTGGTTGCGTACGCAGCGCCATGTGCCCCCAAGTCTGCGGGGCTCCAAGCGCTTACGTACCGGCACTAAAGCTCTCTGCACGCGAGAAATCTTCACGCAGCAAACGCTCAGTCTTGAGATTGTGTGCGTGCTTTATGAATAAAAAGACGCCAGTAGGACATATCGTTTGTAGGAAGAATCTTGAAGATGACAACGAAGCCTTTTCTCTCGTGTTCAATCGTGGAGTTGTTAAGGGTCATTTAATGAGCAGGTATTAGCACTTGTATAGAAAGCTGAGACCAGCTGCACGATTGTGAAAAATGGTTGTAAAAAAATAAAGTAGTTGACTGGCTGACTTGCTTGTGCTTGCTTAAGATAGATGAAACACGGCCACGAAAGGGAAACTGACTTCCAAATGAGTTTTTGTTGACAACTTACAACTTACACGTACTTGCGAGAATAATTAAGAAAGCAGGACAGGAAAAATGCAACAGAGAAGTGAGGCAATGGTAGGAAACCCCCGAAAAAATGCAGTAACCATAGTGGTCAGCCTCGCAAAAATCCCGTAATAAATGCGAAGCATTTCTTAGCGAACTTCAGTGACCGTGAGCATATCTATCTATCTATCTATCTATCTATCTATCTATCTATCTATCTATCTATCTATCTATCTATCTATCTATCTATCTATCTATCTATCTATCTATCTATCTATCTATCTATCTATCTATCTATCTATCTATCTATCTATCTATCTATCTATCTATCTATCTATCTATCTATCTATCTATATCTATCTATCTATCTATCTATCTATCTATCTATCTATCTATCTATCTACCTATCTATCTATCTATCTATCTATCTATCTATCTATCTATCTATCTATCTATCTATCTATCTATCTATCTATCTATCTATCTATCTATCTATCTATCTATCTATCTATCTATCCTATTCTATCTGGCCACCTACGACGTTTAGCTCTTCTAGCCGTTCCGGTAATGGTATTGATATCAAACTTGGTATGTCACAACTTGACTGTATGAAGAACATATTTGTCTAGTCATAACATGTAAATAATGACATGTATGTCATGAATGTCATGATTTACATTTTATGGTTGGCCGCTCTTGCGGTGATTTTGTTCGCACGACATATTGCAAAACTGGTACGGTATGACATGATTGCATGAAGAACACAAGCGACAGACCCTAACATGAAAATCATGACATACGTGTGATGTAACAACATCACTACATGCTGCGCTCTTGATGCGCTTGCGGCCACTTCGCTAGAGTCACATATACCAAATTTAGAATTACAGTACATGAATGGATGACGAAGGTATGATATGGGTGCAAACGCGATAAACGAGATGCGTGTCATGTAACATGACTACATTCTGCTTTCATGTTGCGCTCACGGCCGTTTCGGTAGCTTCATGATGTACCAAACTCGGTATTACGCGACGCGAACGGGCGACAAAGGTAAATGACACAACCAAACATGATAATCATGACATGCGTGTCATGTAACCACATCACTACATTTCATGCTCATGATGCACTTGCGGCCGTTTCACTAGCGTTATATATACGAAACTTGGTAATACGGTACGTGAATAGATTACGAACGTACGTGACTGAGGCAAAGAGGATAATTATGATTGATTGATATGTGGGGTTTAACGTCCCAAAACAACCATATGTATATGAGAGACGCCGTAGTGGAGCGCTCCGGAAATTTCGACCACCTGGGGTTCTTTAACGTGCACCCAAATCTGAGCACACGGGCCTACAACATTTCCGCCTCCATCGGAAATGCAGCCGCAGCAGCCGGGATTCAAACCCGCGACCTGCGGGTCAGCAGCCGAGTACCTTACCCACTAGACCACCACATGAGATGCGTGTCATGTAACAACATGACTACATGCCACGCTCATGATGCACTGGCGGCTGTTTCGCTAGCTTTAGTTATACGAAATTTGGTATTACGGGACGTGAATGGAGGATGAAGGTTATACTGGTGCAATCATGATAAACATAAGATACTTGTCTTGTAACAACATGACTTCAAGCTACGCTCATGATGCGCTCGCAGCCATTTCACTAGGTTCACATGTACCAAAGTCGGTATTACGCAACGCCAACGGACTACATTGGTAAATGACACATCCAAACATGATAATCACGACATGCGTGTCATGTAACAATCACAACATGCGTGTCGTGTTCATGCCGCACGCATGATGCGCTTGCGGCCGTTTTGCTAGCTTCGCATGGTATTACGTGACGACAATAGATTGCGAAGGTATGTGACCGATGCAAACATAATAATCATACAAAGCGTGTAATTCAGAACATGACTTCATGCCACAGTCAAAGCACCGATAGATTTCGACATGACGTGGTGCACGTGCTCACCAGCGTTCATTTCCACGCGTCATGCCGGCGTTGCTACGGTAGGCGCTGGTCCTGCCATATACTCTCAGGCACTAGCCGCGCTGCGTTGCTTTGACGCATGCGTGTTTCAGCGCGTCCGACTTCCCTCCGTCATGAAAAGAGGGAGACGCAGTGTTGCCTGCGTAACGCATCGGTACGAAATGCAGCATGTCGCAATTCGCACCGGTTGCCGTCGGGTTGCGCCGACGGACGCTGGTCGCGTTTGGAGTCGGACTCTAGAGTGCTCGCGTTTTGCTAACGTAGCGTCGCTGTGCCCAGCGTGCGCATGTGGCAACGCTACATTGAAGTATATTAGGCCTTCCATGATGCGCTCACAGCCGTTTTGCTAGCTCCACATATACCAAATTTCGTGTTGCGTGACGTGAATGGACGACGAAATATATGACTGGCGCGAAGATGATAGTCTTTACACGCGTGTCATGTAAGAACATGACAACATACCACGCTCATAGTGTGCTCGCGGCCATTTCGCTCGCTTCACATACACTAAATGTGGTATGACGTTCGGCGAATTGATGACGAAGGTAAACGACACATCCAAGCGTGATAATCATGACACGGAGGTCATGTACAACATCATTTACCTCCACCTCGCAACGTTGTGCTCATTTTAAAGTGACATATCAACATGTGTCATCGACTCTCACTGTACGTGGGATCTGGCATCTTTTTCTTCAGAAGCAGAGCTTCCTGTCAGATACTACCGCGAATAGTTTGCTTACACATTCACTTCTATCTCATGCCATCAGAACAGCCTTACTGAATATGCGCGCTTGCTCACCTTTTATCTTACCCACAGCTGTGGTCCTTTCAAACTGTAGAGGGCACCCACACGTGCAATGGGGAGGCAAGCATTGTCATTATGAACGTTATTGGAGCGTTCGTGTAAGTGGTCGTTTGGGCATCTGCCCATCTTGCCTACCTAGTTCTCCCCGCGAGCCAAGGAAGGCTGTAGAAACACCGCACTTCGCGCATGGTCAACCAACATTGTTCTGTGTTTCAACACAATTTGTTTTCCTCGTCTTTTTACGGGACAGCTTTTGTTCGCCAAATTCGACAACTTGACATTACACGTGTGATGTAGAAAACAAAGACACTGCGGGGTTAAGATGGCTTCCATTTATTGTGGTGAATGCGCTCCTCTTTT